TACACCCTGCAGATACACTGCAGATGAAAAAAAGGCAGCCCCTGTCTTATTTGGAAGCATTACCAATATAAGGCAAAACCAATTACTAAGTGTAGAAACTATAAAGGAAATCTATATCAACAACAATGCTTCAGAGAAAGATCTTACATCTGAAAAAGTGCATTAAAACAAAATAAAGCAGGGTTACTGTCTTCCCATGACAGTGAGGAAATAAGAGCCTTGTGTACAGAAGGGTCTCTCTTGAAAAGAAAGCGTGGGATTTCATACAGAGAGATTGGTACTTTGTCCAGAGGACCATCTTCCGAGAAACATGCCTTTTCTGCTATACATCTCTGAGGCAGGCAGAGTTTTCCTGCAGTGATCGCGACAACGTTGTCTTACACTATTTGATTACTAGTTGAGGCTCCAGTCTATCAAATGGTGTACGTGCATGTTAAGTACAAACCAGTGGGATTAAAGCATATGCCTGAAGTGAAACTCAGGCTTTAGCTTGTCATTTAGAAGGGATGCATTGCCAAACTGGCATCTTAATGACATGTCAGTATAAAGATCCTTTCTCTAGCATTTTTCCATGGGTGGATTTTTTGTCTTTTCATTTTCATGACCCCCTCTTTGTTTGTAAAAGCTGATTTGGCTGCATCGTGCAAATGAATTTATGTAATGAGAGACAGGGGAAAGAGGGATTACTCTGCCTGCATATCGTTATTAAAAGCATAGAGTAAGACGCTTTTCTCCTCCAGAATAGACCTTTGGGAGACTGTTATCAGTGACAGTAAAATGAAGGTTGGGTGACCGCAGAAGCAAGAAGCAATCTTATATATCTCTTTTATAAGATTTTTAATAGAAGGATCCACTATATCATATCTATCAACCTTTTAGGCACAGAAAGAAAGGATTCCAAACTCCTCCTGAATACACACAGCGAGCATTTGTTCATTTGTGTTTTTCAGGGGCACCTACCTTGGACTGTGGCAGCCAATGTACCAGACATCCTTTTCAAAAGGAAGGGAGGGGAAGTAAGCTGTGTCTGTGAATTCAGAGTTTTATGAAGTAAAACTCACTGGAGTCCTCTATTTGTATCTGGAAAGGGAAAAAGCAGGGTTATTACCTAACCATGATTCTGAAGAAATAAGAGGTGAGAGAGAGATCATAATTTGCGTTCTGCTAAAGATCTACAGGGATGTTTTCTTATTTTCCCCTGCCTTTCCCAGGGAGGACTACAATGTCTCAAAGGTAACCATTTCTGAAAGCTAGTAATGCAGGCCTGAATGTACTGCAGGTGTTGGAACTGGATTTCACTGCCGCTAATAGGTATACAGCCTTTTAAGGAGACTTGATAAAATATACCTTCTAAGTCTTCTTCGTTACTGATACAGCAATCCTTACTCAGACAGACCTCCCAGGAGCTCGGAGACAGCTTGAGTATACGATCCCAAACTGAATCATCCCTATGGCTCTAAAGTAAAAATCTTGCAGGGAGTGGATTAAAACTGAGCTCTGGAAGCAAATTCCTCCAAAGTTTTGTGCAGGTCTGCGCAAAAATCTAGACGTTTTAACAGCTAAAGACACCGATGTGAACATACTAGCATTGAATAGTGACTTATTTTTTCCCCATGAACTTCACCCAGTGCACTCCTGAACTCTCTTTCTACCTTGTGAAACAGCTAAGAATCATATGCCCTGAACTGTTAGCATTTAAAACCAAAGGGGATTTTCATGACTATACACAATAATTGCATTCAGAAAGAATTAATACAAAATTAAGTACTGTTTATTTCATCTATTGTGTCAGAGATTTGGGGGGGAGAGGTGGCTTTGAAAAAAATTTTTTTGGTAAAGCTGGCATATTATTAGCTAATAGAGTATTCACGTCCCTTCCACACTTAGCAGCCGTCCACTTAGTGACATGCTCTTGCTTCTCCATGGCTGACCACTGGCTTTCTTGTTCCTTTCTGCCAGGTGTTTAAGGAAAACTGCACTTTCATTGATTTCAGCTGGTGTAAATCCATGTCTGATTTGGCCCAGCAAGAAGAATTTTACCTGTGACTTCCATGACAGCAAGATCAGATAGAGCAAAGAAATCTTCTTGCCTTAGGGGGGAAAAAAAAAAAGCCAGCGGGGGATTCCCGGCAGGCAGGAGGATGCAAGTGTGAGGCTCAAGGCAGCTTTTTACCTGCTTTTTCTCATTGCTGACAAGGAGCGCAGGGAGGGATGTGCTGAACGGGTCACCATAAACCCCTGATGGCTAAAGCAGTTTGGCTGCTCCCCCACGCAGAGTTCCTGTGCTGCCTCTTATATAAGCTTGGTATTACTAGCACAATTTAGTCTCTAAAGTAGTTTTTAAAAATCCTTTCACAGCTATTCTTTTTCAAAGCATTTTAGCTACCTACCGATACAGCTGCCAGGAAAGGACAAGTTACCATCACTGCGACTACTAAAGATTAGTATAGGGGATATGACAAATTATGAATGGCATGGAGCGGTGGATTGATTCTCTGCTGTTTATTTAATATGAAGAGCAAAACCATGAGTGGCATGGAGTGGGGCATCGATTTGCCAATGTTTATTCTAATACGAAGAACAAACACTCAACAGCTGGAGCTGGCAGGAGCCAGGTTCAAAGCAAACGGACGGAGCTTCTTCAAATAACAGGTGGCTGAGAAGTGCTACGCAGGGCGTTGTGGGAGCTAACAGCTTGCACGGGTTCAAGGGCAGGCTGAACAGGTTTGCAGAAGAGAAGTCTGTTAAGGTTGCTAAATATATAGGAACCTCATCGGTGTCAGGAAGACCCCGAACTGCAAATGTTGGAGGCTGAGAGACTTGGAGGGGGATTATGTCATGTGAGTTTCCTCCGTTCTTTCAGCCACCGTCAGAGCGGCCAGTCAGAACTTGAGCAAGGTGGATCTTTGCTTCAGCTGGATATGGCTGCTTTCATACGGCTGTTTTTATGCTCTTGTTGGTTAGGTGCATTTTCTTTTTTATTTAGCCCCACCCCATTGCTTCGTACTTTGGCTTCCCTGTTATTTCATCCATCAGCTATTTCTTCTCTTTCTGACTGCCAGCAAGGATGGAAATTCATTTCATGTCCAGATGGTACCTTGCACAGTTGGGGTCAAACTGGTATGATTGTCAAGTAATATTACTAAGACATATTACAGAAACACAAGGTATTGCGTCCTCTCTTTTTGATAGTTTTGTGGTTTTATTATAATTGTCATTTGGTTTTTGCTCCTGGCTTTAAGTGTAGAGTCAGATTTCTGAAACTGTTCACAGAAATCTAGAGATCTCTGCACACAAAATTCTGAACCAGTTTCCACTGCTAAGTAATGGGTACCTTCAGTGGGTTGTGGAATCATGCTAGCTTTTATTAATTAGGTCTTGATCTTTCTTTTTTTTTATATATATCAGTAATCATAATTGAACATCTTGTTGTGGTGGACTTTGTTTACTAATATATAAAAGCAGACAACTCCCAGCTGAACCAAGAGTGCTTTCACCTGTTGAAGTCTTGGACTCATGAGTTTGCCAAGCAGAACCTAGCAGGTTCCCTGGAGGACTGGGGAGTAAGTGGCTGGCCTTCAGCAGCCCAGTGATCACAACCATCGTCTGTTCAGCACCAGATGCTCATGATAGTTCAACAAATCAATGAAAACTACTAACCCTGGTTGCTAGCTATACAATAAGGGTGCCATAGCAACACTGTAAAACTGTCGAGGAAGAAACATAACACACAGTAACCTAGAATTTGAACTACAAAATACTGCCGCCAAGAACAAGGTGGCTGCGTTGTTTAAGCTTGACAGCTGATTTGTAGAGCACCTCTTAAAGCAGGAAAATTTTTGTCTACAACTCCAGTTGTAAATTCACTTTGGAGGAAATTAATCCCAGATATTAACTACTGAGGAAGAGATAAGATTTTTTTCAGGACGCTTGTGGTTTTAAGAATACCCATATCTAAAAGACATTCTTTAAAGGAAAATATGCATAAGATGGTAATTAGCATCACATTTTTTGTATACTCACATAAGCTGAGATACAAACCTTTGGAGGCTCATGTTATGTTAGGAAAAGTCATAGGAGAATACGACTTTTGGTATGGATGACTCAAATAATAAGAGAATTTAGGAAAATATATATTCTTCAACAAGTAAGGGCTATTTCTTAATACGCACACAAACAGAACAACTCCTTAGGGGCTTTAAAAATCCTTCTCCACAGACCTGGACCCCAGCTTGACAACCAGAAGTAGATTGTTTGGATTTCAAACACTCAAACTTGCAAAAATTTCCCAAAAGGGAAAATTACTCATTTTTCAGATTTCGATATTGCTGTTACCTGAACTGTCTTCCTAACGAGGTTAATTTTGGTTTGACTTAGGGAAAGCGTAATAAAGTGCTTTCTCAGTACATCATTTGAAATACTTAAAGAAGTTCATATCCACACACCTCTCATGAGAGGAGGAGGGGTACATAGGATGATGGCAGGCGCCAAGAGTTTACTGACGCAGGGAATGTACCGTTCTGAAGACTTCATTCCTTTAATGTAAAGCATTATTGTAATAGACTTGTTTATGAGACTGTATTTTGCTAGCAGTTATTTTCACTGATAAAGTGAAATGCTCAATTTGTGTACAACATAGATAAATGTGAAACTAAAGTGTATAATATCATTTGAAATAGGAGACGCTTAAATACAGCTGCCAAGAGAGAAAGTTTGCCTTGGACCCGTTACTTTAAAAAGTTCAGGAGGGTCTGACTTATTACAGTCCAAGCCAAGATATACAGTATCACATTCCCTTTGCCCTGAGACCCCTGGGATCCCAATAGCTCCAGCTCCGGAGGGGTGAGCGCTGGCATGCTCTGGTTTCTTGCCTTACTCAACTCAATGCACCCCTTAATTTATGCACATAAGTCACTCAGCTTATGTATAATGCACTAAACTTGGAAGGTGACTGAGAGCAGAGATAGAAGGAAGATGCAGAGCCCTTCTGGTATCTCTAATACTCCTGTAGGTTTCTGCTTGTGGCCAGGGTAACGGCTCAATGCGAAGGCACCTCCAGGGGATTTTCTGCTCCCAACCGCCTGTTCGAATGTGTGAGGAGATGGCTTGGCTTTGGTGTTCACCACACCTGCTTCCTCCCAGGTAAACTATATATTAAAACCATATTCATAGATTATTCCGCAGTGTGGCAAATCTATGGTCAGTGTGGGTTGCTGGGTTTTGTTTTGTTTTTGTACTGGAAAACTGTATGAGATCTTTTCTACTTATGCATCCATTAAAAGTTGATACACCCTTTCTTCCTTCTTAACTCTGAGGTAAAAATTCATTTTGGGCTGTTGCTTGGCACTTGAAGGCTCAGTCTGAGAATTTATGCTTCCTTATGTAATTTTCCAAAAATCTGGCCATCCAGAAGACATGGCTGTGAACCTTTGTGAGGGTCTTTCTAAAGCCAAATCTCTGCTTTTGCGCTCTGTGTGTGTTTGAGGTTGTTGGTAGTGAAGTTGTGTACGCATGTGTGTGTGCCTGTTAGCCCTGCCGTATTAAATTTTGAACTAGTTGGTCAGGCTCAGGTAATTTGTCAAGACCTCGAAGATCCTGAGTTTCTACAGATGTCAGGAAAATAGGTGGCCAGTGAACAGAGGAAGATCCTACAAAAGTCCACTCATCTCCGCAGTGTGCCTGTGCTTAGGCAACAGAGGATCCACGCAGGTGCGCCTCCCCAACACGTACATCCACAGGTGACTGGCCATCATCGATTCTGCCACTTATGGAGCTGTTTGTTTTTACCATGCGCTTTTTGGGACGCACACAAGAGAACTGTGATGTCTTTTCCTCCTCTTTGAATAGGGTGAAAGATCAGTCAATGGTCTTGGTTTGGTGTTTGGTTTCTGGTCCTTTTGTAGTAAAGGCAGTTATCAATGATACGTGCATGTGATGTTCATAATAGTATTTAGATGACACCCCTAAGTCCTCTTTCTAAGACTTAATTAGAGGCACTGTACATGCAGATTTGTTGCAGCAGTAATGTCTAGCTTGAGTATTTGTAGTTGTATCCAGTTGTACCTATTGTTGTCCAGCTCTGCAGTTATTTGAAAGGGCTGAGCAAGAGGAAGTCTTAAAGCTTTGGAAATGTATTGCTTCTCTGTATGGAAGAAAGGTTCAGGTTAGTAGAAAATAAGTCATATTCTCTTTGGGAAAGGATATAAATTTTGAATTAAAAAAAAGATTGCTTGCAGACATTGTAAACTTACCTTGCACATTATTCTGCCTGTGCAGTTGATATTGTTGAGGAAAAGTAAATCTGTAGTACATATCCACCTATTGAGTATTCAGTGTGAACATGTTATTTCCATAAGAAGAGAAATACGTAAAGAATCTACTCTTAAAATAGCAGATTGGATGCTACTGAGAGCAGAGGTGGGTTTGGTGGGCTTGACCTGTGGTTACAGGGGCTTCACCCGCAGCGCGCGAGGGGTGTCCCGAACGTGCCACGAAGCGCGCGAGACAGCGGGCACCATCGCCGCACACACACAGCGGCTC